GGCGCAGTGTGGAAGCCCACCGCAGGGTCCTTTCAGATCGGCGGCAGCTCGGTCCTCGGCGTCCGTCGTGGTTCAGGACGGCGCGGCGGCGCCCCTGCGGCGGGCGGCCCTTGTCAGACACTGATGCAGCACAGGGTAGAGGCGCTGGCAGCCCTCGAGGCCCAGGCGCACGGCTTCGGCCCAGCTCTCGGTCGGGCCGCCCTCCCCGCTGCCCAGCAGCCCAGCCACCTGGTTGAGCACGGGCATGAGCGCCACGGTGAGGCCGGCGGTGGCGCGCTCCTCCTCCAGCCGCGTGGGGTCCAGCAGCCAGGTAGGCGCGGGCCCCGGCGCACGGCTCAGGCCGCAGCCCACCACCAGGTCGTACATCTCGACGCCCGCGTCGGCCAGGGCGAGTGCGGCGGCTGTGAGCGCGGCAGCGAGAGCCGAGCCGCCATCCTCGAGCAGCAGCGCGGACACCTCGAGCTGCGCGCGTGGGTAGCGGCCCAGGCGCACGGCCGGCTCGAGCGCCTCCTGCAGGGCCAACGCCAGCTCGCGCTCCTCACCGCCTCCGGGCGGCGCGCGGCGCCGGCGGCCCGCGAAAGGCGCGCGGCGGAAGTCGCAGAGCAGGCGGCCGCGCAGCGCAGCCGGGGCCTCGCCGCCCCCACCCGCAGGGCCGCCGCCGCGGTCGCCGCCCTCAACCTGGCGCGGGCCAGACACGGCGCACAGCACCTTGGTGCCTCCCGCTTCCAGGTAGGCGGAGCCCTTGGCCTGGCTCAGCAGCCCGGCGCGCGCGTACACGGGCCGCAGTCGCGTCGGGTCGCGGGCGGCGGGCGCCTCGTCCTCGTCGGCCGCGTACAGCTGCGGCGGCTGCGACTCCTCCGGCCCGCGGATGCGGCGGTGATCCCCGGGCATGGCGGCGCCTGGAGCGCAAGCCACTTCCGCCCGTCTGCACAACCTCTCAGGCCGCTCTTCCGCCAGCTTAAAGCCGCGCGCCCGCGCGAGAGCTGTCGGGATAGCGGCGGGCGCCGCCGCCCCGCCCACTGCAGTCCTGGAGGGAGAACGGCGAGCTCAGCCGAACCCGGGGACGGACGCCC